CTGTGACGCTTTTGTATTTTGATGTCTGATTTTGTAAGCAAGTAGTTTTTAAGTGAGGTGTAACGTGGGGTACGTGAGACAAATCAGACTCCTGGGAAGGGGTACATAGTCTGGAAAGGTTGTGAGCCACTGTTCTAGGTAATGCCTCCAGGTCTCGAAAGCTGCTTTGATGGCAAGTAGCTCCATGTCTGAAATCTGATAATTATGTTTAGGATGGGAGAGCACAAGGCTGAACTTTTGTCGAGGCCCTGTTTCTGTGACAGCGCTGCCTGATGATGACATTAGAGTTACCAATTTCCAGGATGAATGGCTGGCTTGGGTCAGGGTGTGTGAGGCTGGGCATGGGGATAAATGCAGTCTTCAAATGTTTGAAGCCTCTTTGGGCTTCTAGTTTCCAAGCAAACTTGGCGAGGTTCCACAGCAAAGATCTTGTAGGGGCCAGGATTCAGGAATAGTCCCGAATAAAATGTCTATAGAAATTTGCAAATCCATTGAAATGTTGAATTTCTCAAATGCTTCGTGGTGTTGCCCAATCACAGTGCTTCCACCTTTCTGATCTCCATGTGAACTCCCTTGGCAGACAGAATGTAGCCTAAGAATTTGATGGTGGGCTGATCGAAGATGTATTTCTCCGGTTTAGCATGGAGCCCATGTTGGCAAAGTTTTTCTAGAATGTTGTGCACGTGCTGGTTTTGCATAGACTGGTCTTCAGAGTAAATTGGGATGTCATCTAAGTAGGTGTTGTCACGGAGTCCCCGGGTGATGCTCTGGAACTGCTCCCCACAAAGCCAGTCAGGACTTTGGGGAGCCTCCTCTCCCATGGAGCAGACTGTCTTCAGGGCAAGAAGCTCACATGGCTTCACCTCCTGGGTCTGCCCTTGGAGCATTCAGCGTATGCCCCTCCGTGCGCTTCCCACAGCGAGTCTGCCCTGGCGGGGTCCTGGGGAAGCCAGAGGGTCCTGCACGCACCCCCAACTTTGCAGTCAGACGTGACTCTCAGCCAGCCAGTAAAACAGAGGTTTATTAGATGACAGGAACACTGTCTAAAACAGAGCTTGTAGATCCAGAGAACCGGATCCCTCAGCCGGGTCCATTCTGGGGTCCCGCGAGCCAGACACCCCAGTCTGCCCTGACTCCTAGTCCCCAGCAAGCTCCAAACTGAAACCCCCTCCAGCCCCTCCTTCTCTGCTGAGTTCCTTTCCCGGGCCAGGAGGTCACCTGACCTCTTTGTTCTCCCACACCTTTAGCATCCCCTTGCAGGGGGGAAGGGCCTGGCTGTTAGTTGCTAGGCGACAGAGGGTCGGCCAGAAACTGAGGCACCCACACAGTATTCAGAGGAAACATTAAGAACAGTCCCACTTCGTCACAGGTGTCCACACAGCAGTCTAGCATATCCCATAAGACATCATTTATTAGATGCTGAAAGGTTGTGGGTGCATTAGTAACTCTGAAAGGCATCAATAGATATTCATAATGGCCATTCTGAGTTCAAAAGTCAGTTTTCCAATGATTCCTGGACTGGATTGTAACTAGGTTGTAAGCCCCTCTGATGTCTAACTTGGTCAATACTCCAGGTGTTCTTACTTGATCCAGGAGCTCTGGGATCTGGGGTGTAGCAGGTATCACTTTCGCACTGTGATTTTTATTTAGGGCATTGTAGTCCATACATAGTCTTGGGGAGCCGTCTTTCTTTTTCAGAGAACAGAGGCCCTGGCTGGGAAGGTGGAATGCCACATAAAAATAGTCCTAATGGCAGTTAATTCAGGCTCTGACATGGGGTACATTCGCCCGAATAGAGTCTTGGTTCCAGGTTGTAAGTTAATTAGGAAGTTGTATTCCTGCTGAGGGGGTAGTGTCTGTGTTTTGTTTTTTGAATGCATCTGAAAATTCTTGGTACTTTGTGGGGAAAGTGATGGCTGACCCTAGCAGCAGAGAAGCCCACTCTGTTGCTTGAGCATCTCTCCCTGTTTTTGGAGTCTGGGCAAAGTATCCAATCTGAGGTTCTGGGGAGCCAAATTTGGAAGGTGAGAGGCAGTTGTCCTAGCAAAACTCAGAGTTAAATGTCATGATGTGCTGTTGCCAGGAGATATGCGGGTCATGTTTCACCAATTCGGGGATTCAGAGAATCAAAGGCAAATGTAGGGACTGGATCAGGCTGAATTGGAAGAGCTCATGGTGCTCCCCAACCATCACCTCCGAAACTGTAGTTTCTTGATTGACGGGACCAGAGCCGAGCAGCGAACAGTCAACTGTTTTGACTAAATCAGTGGTGGCATTTGACTGTTTGGGTAGTTGAGCCACAATAGCATCCATGAAATTGACTCTGAGGCAGGTGATAATCAGGACCTTCTAGGGGAGAAGTATCTGTTGGGAATCCTAAAGCCAGAGTTGCAAATGGAGCTGTAAGTATAGGGACAACTTCTACGTGTTGGGTGGAATGCGTGGTATGGGTTGCTGGAGGGGGTTTCCTGGGGCTTTCCTGGTATTGCCCAGGCTCAACCTCTTTATTGTGGCTTGGAGTGGTCTTTTCCCCAGGGCCATGTGGTTCAGGGACTTGGCAGATAGTTGCCACCACAGTAAAAGCACAAGTTTTCTTGCCATCGGTGTTCCCACTTGGGCTTGTGCTGAGTTCACTTGTATGGGCTTAGGTGACTGGACCTTTGCAGGGGTTGGATGTGGGGTGGAATCCCTCTTCTCTTGAGTTGCTGCTCACTATATCTTGTGTTGATTCAGATCAAAGCTCAATAAATGCATCTAGACCCACTGGAGACTCTGTGTGCAAGCTCATCTTTTATTTCCTTGCTGAGACCAAGATAGAATTGGTGTAGCTGGGCTGACTCATTCCAACCGTGTCTGCTGCTAGACATTGGAAATGAGCTGCATACATTGCAGCTGACCCTGAGGTTTGATGGAGTCTCTGTAAGGCTGCCTCTTCCGAGTGAGCCCAGTGAGGGTCAAAGAAAATTGCCATAAAGGTCCTGAGGAGGGTGTCCCAGCTAGCCAGTATGGGAAGATCTAGCTCTAGCAGAGAGGACACATACTCCAGGACCTTGCCTATTAAAAGGCTGATGATCAGTCCCACCTTTGCCTGGTCTGTCCTGTACATGTTGGGCCGTAGCAGGAAATGGATCCTGCAGTGCTTCACAAACCCTCAAAACTTGCTACAGGTCCTGTCATGGCACTCCGGTAAAGATGCCATGGGTTCAGGTTCAGAAGGCGACACTGGCCTGGGAAAGGCATGCCTGCTTGTAATTCTGTGATCTGTTCCTGAAGAGCATGGTTTTCTGCTCAAAGCTGGTCCATAGTGTCCTGTAAGATTTGGTTTTCCTGCCTGTAGGTGGGTGATCTGCTCCTGGGGGCTCAGCATCCCCTCGGGATCCTTTGATGCCATACCTATTGGGTCCATACCATTTTGGAGTAAGACGAGCTTAGGAGGAGACTGAGCAGTGTGAGCAAACTCATGCCCAGTGCCTGAAGTGGGTTAGGGGCAGTCCAGAGCTGTGCTCAAGTGGTGCATGGGTGGTCTGGTATTCAGGAGGTCAACTGCTATTAGAGGCAGTACAGAGCTATGGTCGGAGTTCTTGCGGGGGGGGGTTGTAGCTGGGAGATCTAGTTCAAAGGGCTGGGTTGGCAGGATAGGTAGGCAAGATCAGATGAGGCAGCAGGGCAACAAGGCCAGGTGGTCTAGGCAGCAACCAGCGGGCAAGAACATGTTGCTCAGCCAGCTTCCTCTTCCTGTTGGGGTCTTTATATAGTCCAGGTATCCAATGGGAATGCTGCCTGTCCAGCCAATCAGGGGTTTGGAGTATGATTCCTTTGGAACTGTAGACCCTTAGCGCTAAGGCTGCTGGTTGGGGCAGTGGCTCAGCATTACTGCCATGGCACAGAGGCTGGGGGATGTGGTTTAGATACTCAGCAGGCCTGAGTTCAAATACCAGGGTCCTGTCACAGCAGGCATCCTCTCTGAAAATCTCTTCACTGGCTTTCTGGCCTCCCAAATAAAATTCAGACTCCTTGTTCTTGCTTTGAAAGTAACCCTCAACTTAAATCTAATTACTTCCCTGATTTATTTTTATTATTGTTTACTTAGCCCCACTAGTTTCCCCTTCACACAATCCAAGCCATCTGTCTTTGTATGTCTACCTTTTTTGCCTTCTTTCATATGTGGAACTCACTCATCTAGTCAAACATGCTTCCCTTTTAAAGTCTTGTAAACTAGTTTGTTATATATGTATATAATAGCTTCATATTTCTTTTAAAAATAAATACTCTCATTCTGAAGATGTATATCTTGGCATCCTCCCAGTTAACTATATGAACATGTCTGTCTTTTCCCTGGTTCTCACGCCTTGTCCCTCCCTGTGTTATCTTAATGCAGCTCTTCTGCTTTGTTTGGTAAAATGCCATGCAAATCTGTGACTATGTACATGATAACCCAACTTCTCTATAGGCAGTATTTTTGGACATTTTTCATAGCGTCTCTACTACAAAGCAGTTGATCCTAATCAATTATACATATGCAATGCTGCAAAGGAAGGTGAAAAAACTTCTAGGTATTTGCTAATATGTCATATTTCTCCACAAGCCAAGCTTAATTCTGTGGATGTGAGCAGGAATTATCATAAGCACTTAGGGTATATCTACACTGCAATTGAATACTTGTGGCTGGCCCACGTCAACTGACCTGGGCACTAGGGGGTATAAAATTACAGTATAGGTGTTTGGGCTTAGGCCGAACCTCGGAAACCCCACAAGGGGGGTGGGTCCTGGAGCCTGGGCTCCAGCCCAGGCCCAAATGTCTATATTGCAGTTTTACAGCCCCACAAGCTCAAGTCAGCTGATGGGTTGGTAAGAGGTGTTTAACTTCAGCATGGACATATACTCTAAAATTCATTTGTATCTTACACTGCCAATCACTATTTATTGTGCATGTTTTAAAAAGTTTTAAACTTTAAGACTTAAATACATTTGTTTAAAACTGCATGTGTGTTTATTTCTAGGGGAAATAGCTGCAGCTGAAGTTTCTTCCTCTTTTGTGGCTTTGGCTGCATGTAGTTTAGTAGTCCTGGTAATACTGCTTGTGAACTGTGTTTCCTGCTGTAAAGATCCAGAGATAGACTTTAAGGTAAGCATTGAAGTTAAAAATGATACAAAAGTAATCTGGGATGGATAATGATATAACTAACGTACAAATGATTCAGAATATCACTGTACAGTGGATGTGATTTAAACATTTTTCCTCTCCTGAAATGGCCAAATTCTGCACTTGCTTACATGCTGTGCAACACCATTGAACACAAATAAGTGCAGAACTTGGCCCAGAGTGCATACTATAGCAAGTTACTTGTAATTTACTACAGTAAAAAGTTATCATAAGTGTATATATTTGCTAATAATTTTACTAGTAGTTTAATACTTTGCAAGACTGTGCTAAAGATCAGTTCTTCCTATATTGTCCTTGTTTTGTTTGTCTAATTGCCATTTTTACTTGTTGACAGGATTACAGAACTTCTGTTAAGTAAGTGATTAGAAAGTACAACCTAGCAATACCTAAACTCTGCCTAGTGGAAAAATTCTGATTAGTATTCAAATACAGCTATCTTGGTGACCTCTGTGAATTTGGAATTACTTTGAATTATTGGAAGTGAAGCTTAGGGCTCAGCTGCTTTGAGATAATGTAGATGTTTGATCAAGTTATTTACATCATCTAGGGCAACATCTTTTGAAATCTTTCTGTAATTTTTAGCATATCAGACTAGCAATGCTTCTACCTTATAACATTGTGATTAAATGAAAAAAGAATAAAGTAATTGCTACTGATGATTGTTTTTGGAAATGCAGGACCTCGGGGGAATCTTGTTTTCAAACAAAGTCCTTTTTTAAAATGGAAGTGGTTTGTTGAAAAGAATAAATTTGCTCAACTACTAGAGAACTTCAAAAGAAATTAGATCTGAATTATTTTTTTTTTAAACAAAACCACTTAAATATATTATAACACACATTGCAATTGTCTCTGGATGGGGCGTTTGTCACCCCGGAGCTAATAATTCTGATATAATCAAGTTTTCATGTTCAAATCGGATGAACTGTGAAAGAATATATTAGTCTTCCAGTTTGAAGGCAGTAAGATTCCTTGTATCGTGGTTTCCTAAAATCTTTGCTCTTGCAGGAATTTGAAGATAATTTTGATGATGAAATAGATTTTACACCACCAGCAGAAGATACCCCATCTGTTCAGTCTCCAGCAGAAGTGTTTACTCTTTCAGTTCCGACCATTGCTTTACCAGCTCCATCCCAGTTTCAGCCTCCTGCAGGTGATGTGAACCTTTTCTTACTATGAAACTGAAGATGATCCAGTGATAGTCATCTAGAATTCTAGTATCTGAAATACAGTATTCATATGTGCATCTTGTTTATACTGTATATATTACACAGATCTATTGTTTATTTACTAAAGGGTTTACTGACTGAGTCTAGGCAAATGTTTATTTGTAAATTATTTTTATTGTAGCATAAGAACTTTATGAAATCAAGAAAAAATTGTTTTTCTGTTAGATACAAAATAAAATTTATTCATATTTCTTCTCTTCAGAAATCAGCTATAAAATAGTTTTCAGAATCTAAATTTTCAAAAATTAGAGTGCATAGTAAATAGATGACTTTTTCCACTCTTAAACTAATATTAAAAAAAAAAAAAGGACTAGATGGAGATACTTAGTTTGGCCATGTATAATTTTTGCCTCTTAATAGTCCTGGTTCATGGACCAGGGTCTGTTCCCAATGAAGCTAGTAGAATTTTAGCCACTGACTTAAGTGGGAGCAAGATTGAGCTTCATTTTAGCAGATTTGGGGGGGGATCTGAAACTTGTACCTGTAACCCTGCTTGTCACACCATTAGCTTATTTTTACTGTGAACATCCTTTGCTTCAAATCTGTGAGGATGATGCTGAAAAATGGAATCAGATTAATTTTTCCCCTGTGATTAAAAAGGTTTCATGTATACTTTCCAAAAAAAAAAAAAAAAAAAAAAAAAAAAAAAAAAACACAGTAACCATATAGAAAACTGTAGTTACCTTTCATTTAATTGCAGCATCTCCAATATTATGCACAAATTACTATTTAATATAAAATATGGAATTATTATTTCCAGATGCACTTAACACTTCTGATTAATACAAAGAAATCTCTCTGGCAATATATCCATGGCCAGCTGCAAGTGTTTAGAGAGGAAACCCAAAGGAGACTTAAGTAACTATCCAGAGTTTTAAAAAGAAAACCATTAACTAAATGACTTCTAACATTTTTGCTTAAGAAATACAGTATCTTATATTTCAGCAGTATGCATGCTGAATTTTCTATATATCTGCTACCTATTAATGTGGTCTTTCCAGGTTACCAATGATTCCATGAGAATGTCTAACTTTGCCACAAGAATTTTCTCTAGGCAAATGCATGAACTGGATTGCACCTTTAAAATGCTTGGAAGCTTTGAAGTTAATAGTGAGAATTGTAAACCATAGTGATTTCAGGTGCCTTTTTACTCTCTTATCAGAAGATATCTATTTTTTTACACAACGTTTTAAAGGCCATTGATCCAGACTGTAAAGTAGACTAATACCTTTGGAGCATTTTGTATGCGGTAGGAATGGTTTAGAAATGTCTAGGAATTGTCATGCCCACTATGTATGAGCAATGATCAGTGTAATTTAAAGGTATTTGAGCCCATGTGTTAAGTCTGTAAGTACTGCAGGTACATTTGCATGATGTGCTGTGAAATGATACGCTTTTATTGTGGTTCACAAATCAGTGAACTATACATTCTATACAATAGAATATAACAGCTCCACCGGAACTGTCCTAGTCTGTCATGTCTAGAATTCACATGCTGAAGAAGGCTTAAAGATCCCTCCAAACTACAGATCAATGGTGACTGTTCTCAATTGATCAATGTCCAATTATAAGATTTCTGGGAGTTCTAGCAGTCAACCTCCCTCATCTGTGTATGTAAACCCATGCTTAAAAAATGAACTCAACTACTGCTCGCTTGAGCACTAAGCCTACTGCCATCCCCACAAGTTTACACCACCTTCAACTTTAAAAGGAAAAAGCATTTGTATACTATGTATAAAAAATCTTCCTGTTTATGCTTTTAAAAATATTACTACTAAGTCTGGCCAAAAAGTAGAAAAAAAATTAATCCTGTTCGGTGCAATTCAGTAAATATCTTTGTTAGATAGTGTTCAATCAGGCCTATTTACTGTCACTATTGCATTTGTTTTTCCTCTTTTCCCCTCCTGACTTCACTCTACTTTTTCTTTTTCTTATATTAGATCATGGGGTATTTCTTTCTGAGTTGTTTTAAGCATGTTCCTGCCATTCTCACCACCCTTCTCTTTCTCAAAGTTGTGCTGTTTGTCTGTTCCCTTATATTTTCTCACAAAACTTTTGTGCATCATATATTCCTGTTTATCTTTATTTTATCACTTACACAGTCTCATGCCCTACTGGCAGATGTCTGGCAGAAATTTCTAAGCCTTAATAGCCAAAAGACTAAACTTACTAGACACAGGCTAATACAAAAGGTGGGATTTGGGAGGGTTTATGTCCAGAGACAATAGCAGGTGAAAAGTCAGCTACTGTGAAAATCGAAAGGTGCTGGGATTTGATATTAGGGTTCTCTTTGGACCCTACTTGTGAGTCCAATCTTTATCTTTCTCCAGGTAGTAAGATTTTATACTTAAAGATGCCCTTCAATCTCCTGTGCCTTCTCCCAGTTTCCTTTTACAAGGGTGAAGAAACACTATTTGTTCCTCCTGTTACAATGAGAGGAGTCTCTGCTACTCAACGCATCTCCCAGGCTCCATTAAAAAATAATAATAAAAAATAATAAAAAAAAATCTTTCTGGTGAACAGGTCTACTGCTTTCCTTTGCTGTTGCTCTTAGTTTTCCCCAACACCAGCAGAATGAAAATAACTATCAGTTTTACTGTTTCTCATGAGATTCTGAAAATCAGCAGTGAAACCTGACAAGGCTAGTTAACTTTCATTCTTCTGCTGGTTGCAGAAGAATATGAGCGGCAATATATGCTCTGAATCTGTCTGTAGAAGAAGACAGCATTGTATCAGTTTGCCTTCCTAATATGGACTGAGTATGTCTTTGCAACCTTAAGGGCTTGAAAAATGTTTTTGTTTTGGTAAAGCTTAGCTTTAGCAGAAGCTGATGGCACTCACCTAAGCATTTTTGAGGGAACTTTTAAACCTTGTGTGGGACAACTTACTGCAGACACTCAATTCTCTCCCCCCCCCCAAAACAACAACAACAACAACAACAACAAAAACCCCAAAAATCTTAGACCTGTGAGGTTAAAGATCTAAAAAGCAGGCAGGGCCGCCCAGAGGATTCAGGAGGCCTGGGGGCAAAGCAACTTCGGGGGCCCCTTCCATAAAAAAAGTTGCAATATTATAGAATACTATATTCTCATGGGGGCCCGCCTGGGGCAAATTGCCCCACTTGCCCCCACCCCGGGGCGGCCCTGAAAGCAGGAGACTTTCTGAAAGAGGCCTGTTTTCCCTTTCTTGCCCTCATTCGTATGCCTATTTGCTGATATTTGCGTTTCCCCCTCTTTTTGTGCTTTTTGTGTTTTTTGGTCCTTGTGTCCTGGGTGTGTTTTTTTTTTTTTGTCCTGCTTATTTTTAAAAACAAAGAGTTGAGAGCTGTAAAGGAAAACTGATTAGGATTAATCAGCTGCTTCTTTAAGCTCTGCAGAGCTGACTCTTAAGCAAAACTGACTAGGATCACAAAATCTCAGCATTTGATTTAACACTCTTCTCCCCCCGCCCTTTACTTTCCCAAAAGGGGAGACTGTCTTGTCACCTCAGCAGATTGCTGCCTCTCCCCCAAGATTGTTTCCATGGCAAGGTCTACACTACAAACTGTTACTGTCATTGCTGTATTGGTTAGAATTGTGATGACGTATGTTCCCTGACTGACATAGTTGTGCTGACAAAAGCCCTTAGTTTAGACCAGTATACTGGCAAAACTGTTCATTTTCAGATATAGCATGTTTTGCTTTGGGGGTGGGGAAGGAGGGCCTGAAATAAGCTATACTGGTAAAGTGCTCCCAGTATAGACCTGGCCTACAGTGGTAAAAATGGGAGCTACCACTAGAGCAACTCATGGTAGCAGTGACAAAAGCTGTATTGTACTGTCGACAGGGCTTAGATATCTTTAACAATTCTAACTGGTAAGGAACACAGTGGTAAACACATCTGAGCCTTGTCTACCCTGCAACTTCCTGTTACCACCAGTGGTGCTGCACTGGCAGTGAATTATGGGTATATTTTTGCCAGTGTAGATAAAAGCTAAGGATTTCAGATTTCCCAGCAGTTGGCCAAGGGGGCTTTTCGTGTGAAGTACAATTTTTAAAAAAGAAAATTTCCCCTCACATAGGTAGAGGCTGCAATTAGAGCAGCTGGGTCGGTGTGTAAAGAACTGGAGCTCTGCTGGTAAGGTGGCTAATCAGGGCTTGTAAAAGCCGTGAGTATTCCATGATCTGCTGTGGGCTTGTGTTCTGCCATTTATGTGGGACTCCTGTAAACAGTGATTTAATAGATTCCATGACCATCTAATGCAGATATATTTACAGAGCTAAATGCAAACTCAGCTGTTTTGACTTTCTTGCTTTTGTTGGTTTGCAGTATATCTGGATGTGTTGAAAGCTAAAGTTTACATGTCATTCTTAACTTGCATTATTGTGCAAAGGTATTTCATTGGTCTTGGATCAGTTTCTAGTTGAATCTGTTTAAAAGCCTAAACAAGTTGAGAAGTGTCAGCTTTGGCTTTCGTTTCTGTCCTTAGGTTAGCCTTGTTTTAATACTTTGTCATTGTATATGTTTAACAATATTTTCTGCTGCTTAGCTTAATATGTGCATTGTATTGTAGTGTACTGTAATTAGTAGTGTAAGAACTAAATTTTTTTTAGCGTTTTAGGATCATGCATTATTTCATCAACAGTAGCATAGATAATTTTGGCCATTTTGAGTGGTTTGATTTGTGTCTATTTTTTGTTTTCTATAACAGAAGGATCAAAGTCTCAAGTTGCACGTCAGAGTCTAAACTATATTCAAGAAATTGGAAATGGCTGGTTTGGAAAGGTGAAAAATCCTCCTTTAATATTGTAGTTCTGCAGTTGAGATTTTATTCCAAAGTAGAGACCTATATTACCATTTAAAATATTTATCCAAAGTAATAACACGACAAGAAAATTGTCTTTAGAACTTAATTTGTACTGCTGTTTGCATGCACTTTGTTTTCCATCTCATTGCTATCTCTTTAATTCAGATGCAGTGCTGCTTAACAAAACATTACTTAAAATAGTCAGAAATTCCACTTCAGTAGACTGAGCATGTAAATCGTTGTTTTAATTTTAGCAGCTTTTTTAGAAAAAGCACTTTAACTCCAATTTTTATTTTAAAAAATATACATACATTTTTTAAAATGCAGAGGATTAATATCGCTTGTCAGAATAATTTCTTAAGTGTGGTAGCTTAATTATCAAAGCTTTGGATGTGTTAGCAAAAAAGCCAGAAAATACCCGTAGCCCCATGTTTCTCATGACTTAGTTTTTTCTTTGTGTTGTAATTGAGGTATAACAGGAAACCAGATACTTCCTCTTTAAATGTGACTGAAACTATGTAATGCAGAATTGTTTGTTTTTCAGGTCCTACTTGGGGAGATCTACTCAGGTACTAGTGTAGCGAGAGTAATAGTGAAGGAATTAAAGGCAAATGCAGGTCCCAAAGAACAAGAACAGTTTTTGAGAAATGGAGAACCTTACTAGTAAGTAGCCTCTCATACCTTGGATAACTTGAAGATAGTCCATGCTACTAATATATACGTAAACCATGGAAAGCTGTCTTGTTCAATATTATGCTTCTTTTATATGATACTCACCTCTGTTCTCCCTTTTCAGTCTGTTAATATAAAGTATATGTTGGTAGTTTAAGAAAGGAAAAATACACATTCAATATTGTCAACACTAAATTATCAAAAATTGAGTCAGACATATCCCCCTAGATCATGAGATTTTTAAATAGTGCAGTTTTGTGTTTTTATTGCCTTCCAATTTTTGAGCCTTTAAGAGTCAGGGCCGCCCAGAGGATTCAGGGGGCCTGGGGTCTTTGGCGGCAGGGGGCCCCTGCCGCCGAATTGCCGCCGAAGACCCGGCTCTTCGGCGGCGGGTTCCCCCCCCCCCACACCGTGGGTCTTCAGGGCACTTTGGCGGTGGGTCCCACAGTGGAAGGACCCGCCGCCGCCGATCTGCCACCGAAGACCTGGAGCGGAAGAAGTCCCGGGGGCCCGGGCCCCGCAAGAGTTTTCCGGGCCCCGGGCCCCGCAAGAGTTTTCCGGGGCTCCCGGAGCGAGTGAAGGACCCCGCTCCAGGGGCCCCGAAAAACTCTCGTGGGGGCCCCTGCAGGCCCTGGGGCCTGGGGCAAATTGCCCCACTTGCCCTTCCCCCCCTCCCCCCTGGGCGGCCCTGTTAAGAGTACACTTGGTTTGCATTCTTGGGCTTTTCTCTGCAGGCATGAAGGCTAGAGATTTTTTTAAATTGATGCTGAGATTTTCATGTAGTCACTTGCCTCCAGGAGCTTGAACTTTGAGAGAAAAAACAAAGATAATGAAACTTGTGATAAAATCACAAGAGTTGGCAAGGCTTTACGTACTTTATTTTTTTAACAAAACTTATTTTTAAGCAGCATCTTATCTGTTTTTAAACATTAAACAAATGTTCAATCCAATCAAAGAAGTGATTAGGTTATACAAATAGCTTTTTATCATTGTGTTTGGGTCACTTGCAATTTAACTTGGTGGTGGGAAAAAAACTAACGTGCAGTGGACATGAAGAAGCACTTGAAAAAGAAAAAACTGTTACTAACCTTACCACAACTGTTGTTCTTCAAGATGTTGCTCATGTCCATTCCACGACCTATCCTCCTGCCCCTCTTCAGAGTTAGCTGGCAAGAAGGAATGGAGAGGGTGTGGGGTCGTCGGGGTCCCTTCGACTGGTACATGAACATGGGGCATCAGAGTGTGCTAGAGCCGGCCTGATGGATACCACTGCGGGAAAAATCTCCAGGGATGGTGTGTGCGGCACACACATACCTAATCTGGAATGGACATGAGCAACACATCTTGAAGAACAAGTTACGGAAAGGTTAGTAACCATTTTTTGACATCAGCTCGGATGGTGAAGGCTTGGGATAAACAGCTCCTGGTGCTCCCATCCACTTCTAGAGTTGATGCAGTACTGATAGCAACCCAGCCCTGGAGGGAGCTGACCACGGTGAGCAGGGAAGCTCTGGTTCTGATGACTTTGCCCTGAGGTATAAGGAGAGTCTATTTGCTATCGGAGACCTACGTCTCCCTGGAGGACATGTTTGCTCTTCACTATCCACGTTCACCCCTCCTATTAGGACTATCTCTATTCTGGCACATTAATACACCAGAAGAAGAGACCATCTTGATAAGGCAGTTGTATCCATCCCACCTGCCAGCCTTGAGGCACAGCCATCGGTATTGTTGGTTCTGCTGGAGATGAGGGATCTGGCTTTCTCTTCAGATGAGTCTAAGGCCCTGCAACTGGGGTGGTTCTGTGCCAGTTGATCCATCCTACTGCTAATATTGGAGACTGTGGGAGCCTTAGGCTAGATACCCAGGATCAGTTCAGGAGTCCTATTTGCCATCACCTGGACTCTTGCAACTGGCCCTGTTGGAATACTTGGAAGGGGTAGGTGAGCTGGATTCGCTGTTTCTGGAAGCAATTTCATTGTCTTCGCTGGATGAGGTGGTTACTCCAGCTACTCCCTCTCTGCCAGATGACTTCAAACAGTATCAAAAGCTCATGTACAGGTACAGATTCAGCTTGAGAAAGTACAGGAGCCTCAGGTTAATTTACCATACACTGGGGTATAGGACAAGACTGCGTTCTCAGCTGTTTTACCACCAGTGTACTCAGGAGGCACCATGCAAGAGACAGGGTTTTATAGACCCAGGTACCCAGCTTCTGCAACATCCAATGCCACATCATATTTTAATCCTCAATCGAAGAGTTTCTGTTGATGGGACTGTTAAGACCCGTGTTCCTTTATTGATGCTGCTTTGTTTCCCTCCTCTGATATTCGGAGGCCGCCTTACCCAATTTGCTGAAAACTGGAGGGCTCTAAATACAGATGAATGAGTATCAGAGATTATTCATGGCAGCTATCTAATTGAGTTTTCTGGTACCTTCTACCCACAAACCCCCTTCCCAGTTCCTTTTCAGGGACCACTCTCATGAGGAGATTCTATTACATTAGGTGAACTTCCTTCTTCTCAGGGAAGCCATAGAAAGGGTTTTACCTCAGCATCAAGGGAAGAGGTTCTGTTCCCTTTACTTCTTGATCCCCAAGAAGAATGGGAAATGGAGCCCAATTCTTGATCTGAGACAGCTGAACAGAAGGACACATTATTTGCAGCTCTTGACATGAAGGATGCATATTTTCACATAGACATCCACCCAGCGCACGGGAGGTTCTTTGATTCCTCTTTGATTGAGAGCATTTTCAATTCAGAGGCCTCTCCTTTGGTCTAGCTACTTGCACCCAGGGTCTTTACAATGTTTTTTTTTTTTTTTCCAGTTGTGCCAGCTTGGGTGAGAAGAGAGGGATTTACAGTCTTTCCTTACCTAGACAACTGGCTTCAGATGGGCAGTTCTTACAAGGTAGTCCAGCAGGCAGCCAGTGTTCTGCTCAACCTTCTGCCTTCCCTGGGTGTCTGTATCAATCATGAAAAATGCATGTTGACCCCCATGAGTTGCATGAGTTTTATAGGGAAGACATTGGACTCGACTATAGCAAAACCATGTCTACCCCTGGAGATGTTTCTCATACATCAGGTCACTATCAAATCCAGGACATCAATCAGAACTTGCCTTTCCTTGCTTGGCCTCATGTACACATGTGATGCTGTTAGGGAGGCTTCATCCTTGCTGACTACAAGCTTGGCTTCTCTCCATGTACTCACCAGAGAAATGCAACATAAACAGCAAGGGAACAGTTCTGCTTAGAGTTTTAGACTCTCTCGTCTGGTGGACAAAACCAGAGAAGATTTGGATGGGGATCCCTTTCCTCACACAATTACTGATGCCTCCCTCTTGAGTTGGGATGCTCATGTGGGCAATCATATGGCACAAGGCATCTGGACCATATGGGAGTCCAGAATGCATGTCACATCACTAGAACTCCGGGCGGTCCACTGAGCCCGCGTTGCCTTTCTCCCACTCATCCAATCCAGACATGTCCAAATAATATCGGACAACATAAGGGTATTTTATGTAAACAAGCGGAGGGAGATCTCTTCCTCTGTGCATAAAGGCAGTCATCCTCTGGAATTGGTGCATCAGCCATCGCATAACACTATCAGCAGCATATTTACCAGGGGTGCAAAACTCCCTAGCAGAGTGCCTGAGCAGACATTTTTCCACAAATCAGAGATTCACAATTTGGTTCTTGACAATGTCTTTGCCCATTTGGGGAATGCTGACCTGGAACCTTTTTGCCTCATGGGAGAACAGGAAACTTTCTCAGTACTTCTCCAGAGCAGCCCTGGGGCAAGGGCTCCAAGGCAGATGCCCTACTGGTGTCATGGCAGGGTTGCCTGGGGTATACCTTTCCTCCCAGGCCATTGATACAAGTTCTGTGGAAGATCCACCAAGACAGAGCTTGAGTCATCCTGATTGCACCCAACTGGCCGAGACAATTTTGGTTTACGCATCTGCTTATGCTGTCAGTTCACCCACCCATGAACACCCACACACCGCTGGACCTTCTAACACAGTATAAGGGCAGGTTCAAGCTCATGGCCAGGTATTTGGATGGGCATCAGAAGTAGAGTGCTCATGTTCTAAAAGGGTGAAGTCCATCCTTAACCAAAGGCAGAAAACACTCTATGAGAAGCTGTTATTCCACAGATGGAAGCATTTCTCCTCTGTGGCTCACCAGTGTACCTTGTTTATGGAATCTGCTGGGATTCCTGCTATCTTAGAGTATCTGCTTACACTTAAGTCTTTGGGTCTTGTGCTCAGTTCTGAGTGTGCATTTAGCAGTGATCAGCGCTTTCTATCCTCTGATGGATAACCATACATATTCACTCATCCTGTCAACTAGATTTCTCAGATCCTTTCAGTTGTAGGAGCACCAGTGTTCTGTATGCTATGTGTAACCTGTATGCTCAAAAGGTCCGTTACACTTCCTCTCCCTCTCTAAATACCTGTGAAGTGGCTTTCCCCCTCCCCCTTCCCCTCCCTCCTGGAATGCTTGTAAAATGAATGGTCTGCTTGAACAGCTGGATGATCAGAAGAGCTCCCAGGTAGACAAGGTGTCTGGGACTCTCCCATGAAGGCCCTTCGCCAGGACAGCCTGGCCAGTGGTTCGCCGTTGCATTCCATCGTGCTTAGGGAAGACTTACCTTCATCGCGACGTCCATTGCTGCGCTGGGGGACACTTACCTTGAAAAATCCTGACATCTCCAGTGCCGTGCCTGTCCTGGGAGCGTGAGTATGCAAGTGTGAGTGTGACCTCCCAGCACTTCTTTTGAGCTTAGCTCTCAGTATAATAAAAGTGCTGCTTTCTGCCAAACTCTGGTGGGTCATTAGTCCTCCCTAAGCTTACTAGCTGGCCCAATTTCAGGTAACACTTTCCACCATTGAAATTCGCACCTCAGTGCGACCTCAGTTTTGTTTTATATTTGCTCACTAAGCCCCCCATTGAGTCTCTAGCCATGTGCTCTATGGCCCGTCTGTCCATGAAGTTGGCCTTTCTAATAGCCATAATGTCAGTCAGAAGACATTGGATAGGTCATTGATGTACTGCAACCACTTGAAAAAGACAGCAGTCAAAGTTAGCATTCAGAACACCTTGCTCAGAAAACTGGCCAGCTCAATCTGGGGTGCTTGTGCCCAGGTGCTTAGAACATCAGCCCTTGCCCTCTGCGACTCAAGAGCAGGGTATTGTGCTCCTGTCTGGTGTCACTTGTCTCACATGAGGCTGGTCGATGTAGAGCTTAAAAAAGCTATGTGTATTGTTACCGGGACTTTAAGTGCAACTCCATTGCCACGGCTGCCAATATTTATAACATAGCACCGCCCCATATTCGCCGTGAGGCGGCCTCTATCTTGCACCAGGTCAAGATCCGTGAGAACAGCGACTTGCCTCTGTATTCAGACCTCATCAACCACCTGCCAGTTCGCCTCTCTTATAGACTTCCTTTATGGTCACTTATGCCTCCACAGGACATGACGATGGAATCCGCTTGGCGTAATGAGTGGTCAGCAACGACAGTCGTTAATCACTCTCTCATCACTGACCCAACTAACTGCCTGTCAGGTTTTGACTTGCCAACGTACCTGTGGTCGTCCCTGAACTGGTTTCGGACAGAGCAAGGCAATGGTGCGGCCAGCATTTTCAAGTGGGGTTTCATCCCATGATGTAAATGTGGTCAACTTCAGACTATGTTGCACATCCTTGACAAGTGCCTGCTGACTTACTTTGACAGTGGACTATTGGCTCTTCACTGGCTGATGACAATGCAGTCAAATGGCTGGGCACGCTGCGCATATGCTGAGAGAGTCAGAACAGTCAGTGAGCTGGGAGCACTCATGGCAGACTCACCATATATTATCTTCTATAAAGAAAAGATCTCTTTACGACCCCACCCTAGATTCATTCCTAAAGTAGTTTCTGAGTTTCATGAGTCAAGTAATCCACTTACCGGAATTTTTTTCCAAAAGCCACCTCTCAAGTGAAGAGAGATGGCTGCATTCTCTAGATGTCCAAAGGACTTTGGCCTTTTATCTGCAAAGAACAAAGGATGTTAGATAGCTAAACTATTTGTTTACATAACAGAGTGATCAAGGGGTTAAGCTAAATTGACACAGAGACTTTCAAACTAGATCTCAGGTTGTATTACTGTTTGTTACAACTAGCTCATAGTCCCCCTCCAGAGGGGTGAGGGCTCATTCCATTAGAGGGCTAACTACCCTGGCTGCATTGCTGAGAGACATACTCCTCCGAAAGATGTGTAGGAGAGCTACTTGTAGGAATTTGCATACCTTCCTGAGATATTACGCACTGGTCCAGTCATTAACTGCAAATACAGCTGTGGGGACAGCAGTATTACAGTCGACTATCGAATCTGCATCCTCGCACCCATGCCATCTGACTGTTGGCTTATTAATTTCCCATATGTGGAATACACATAGGGACTATCGCTCAAAGAAGAAATTGAGGTTACTTACCTGTAACTGGAGGTTCTTCAAGATGTGTGGTCCCTATCTGTATTCCACTACCCCCCCCCAGCCTCATCCCTGCAGATTATTCTGAACTGCAGTAAGAATGGGAAACAGGAGTGGCGTTGGCATGCACCACCTTTATACCCTTGATTCTGAGCACAACGGGAACTACAATGGAGGTGTAGGCCAACTGACAGTGCTGGCAAAAAAATTCCTGACTCAGGTGCATAGTGCGCATACATATCCCACTTGTGGAATACAGACAGGAATCACATATCTCGAAGAACCTCCAGTTACAGATGAGTAAACTCCATTTGTTTGGTCTCCTGTTTTGGAGTCCAAGGATACTCAAGAGAATTGGCTGGAAACTAAAAGCTGAATCTTCATGTGCTTTTCAGGGAGTGGGCAAAAGTGGCTGTCCTGTTTCCACTGCCAGTTCTGGGGGCAGAGGGGGCACTGAGTAACTGGCTGCTTTAAACTACAATGGTTGTACAGTCCCACGGGGGGTACTGGAGCACAGTATGCCCCTGGTATGCCCTTGCATGCTCCCAACACATACACCATGGGGGAGAGGGGAAACAGGATGTAGCAGCATTGTCTCTTTACACCACTTGAGGTTCCCCATGCCAGGAGAATTCTCAGCTGTCCACTTAAGGCATCTTGAAGATTTCCTTGCACTGCTAGAGTATATCAAAGGGGATTTATTGAGTCTGAAGATCTGCCTCTTACACTGTTTCTATGTGGATTTAAATCTGACTTTCAAAAGAGAAAACTGAGATGCATAGTGGATAGTAGTATTCAATCATGTTAGAGCTATTAATGTGTATTGCTGTCTTTCTGACTTAAAATAATCTGTTTGTATTTTATTATAGCATTCTTCAACATCCAAATATTCTGCAGTGTATTGGGCAGTGTGTGGAAGCCATCCCGTATCTTCTGGTGTTTGAGTTGTGTGACTTAGTAAGTAAACTTAATAGTGAAAATAGTAAATTTAATAGTTTATAGTTAGAAAATACTGTTTTCTTTAGAGTACGTTTTAAGGGGCTTTTGTGAACCTCATTATTGAAACCACCTGTTCATTTTGAAAAATTCCTTGAAGAGTCAAATGAAGGTATCTTAAAAGGTAAATAACATTTATTTACTTTTTTTCATTTGCGGACCACAAAAGCAATATTTGTTTATACTTAGCTCTCTAAGTTCAGGATTTAACCTCTAGTTTTATTGTGGGACTTTCTAAAGAGGAAAATAATTGTACAGAAAGTAAGCTTTGCCACTTTGTTCTTCCTGGACAACAGAATTGTTAGTATAGCCCATTTTGAAAAAAAACCCTGTTAATTCTATGCATGAATGAGGCAGAAGTCCTGTGGGGGTGAAAGGAGGAAAGGGAAGTGCGGAGTACAGGATCATCTAACTAAAGACTGGTATCGTAATGCATAAGCCCAAGGGAACCAAATAAAGGTTGCATGGGTAACCTTAATTCATACATTTCCTAACTTTTGAGAATTTGATTTTTAGTGTTAACATTCTTTTAATGTCATTTATTAATGTAACTTCTTAAATTAAGAACTTAAAAATTGAAAAAAAAAAACCAAAAAAACAAATTCAATTAGGTGGAATTCTGTTAATACTTCATATGGATTTTCATCAGGGTTTGGGATCTTTAGATCCACAGCATAGTTCTCAGGCTTCTAACTGATAGCATAGAAGGCTGTTATCTTTCTCTTGGATTTGCCACTAGAGGGACATGGTGATGAGATTTCCCAGTGGGTTTCACAGCAATTTGTTAGACAGTAAAAGAATGTTGAGACTCGGGAATAATAGGTTCAATTTCAGGTTCTGTCGCGAAGGGTTCTCTTATGGTTAACCAGACCCTTCTGTCCCTGCCCCTCAATCTCTCCCTGTCCTTTTACTCCTATTTTTCCTGGTTTCGGCCCCTCTTGTTCCTGTGCAGTCGGCTTTCCCCTCTGTTCCTGATTTTATCCTCCCTGCCTCCAACACTCTCTCTGCCCCCTTGCCCCTCTACATTAAAGTCAGGCAGCTTCCTCTTTCTCCAGGCTGCAAGGGTGGCAGCAGGTGGAGCATTGAGAGCATAGGAAAGACAGTCTCCTTTTCAGTTCCAGTTTTTACTGCCACAGCAGCCATTGGCAGTGGGAAGAGCAGTTGCAGAAAAGGTTCTGCTTAGTCCCTGTAACCCTGGGTTGGAATATGTTCGGTCTCTGTGGGTATTGTGCGTGCAGAGTCTGGTTGAAATGTAGATGCTGTTAGGAAATGGAGCATACAAAGTGAAAAACAGAATCTTTGGAGAATCTAGCTACTTAACTCTAGCTAGCCTCTTCTGAGCATGTGGAAACTGAGATTTCAGAGGCTTATAAACTGGCCAAATGTAAGCATATTTTTATTGGCACATCCCTAATGCCAGTGTGACCTCTTTGTCAAACTTCAGTTCCCTGCTCCAAAACATGGAAAGTTAGAGCTTCTCAGATGCTTTTTTTACTCAATTTTTTTAATATGGGCAAAGCAACTTATTTTCCCCTAAATTTATTTTTGGAAATGTTTGAACCATTTTACCATAAATTTCCCAGAAAAATTCAGCCTGAGGCATATACCAGGTTGAAATTTTCTATGCCCAAATGGCTAATTTGGCAAAGTTGCAAACAACTGAAAACAACTGTGTAATGGACAAGGAGCTGCTATGTAATAATCGAAGAATACTGAGATGTAACAATTTTATGAACACTCTGTGACCTTGTCAGTGAAGTCAAGTTGTTGTATATTGGGTTCTAAGACTTTCCTGTGTGAATTTATTGATTTAGTTTAAGAGACTGGGGAAGAACAAACAGGAAGGCAACACAGTAGCTGCCTGTTTAAGCAACCTCTGACAAAACACTTCCGGGGTTGGGGCCAATTACAGAACAATGCTATATTTCTAGGCCCCTGGCCAAAGTGACACAGCTGTTCTATCAGTATTCTGAATGAAGAGACCAAAAGAACAGTAAACTGTTAAAAAGCCCTTCTGAGGAAATGGGGAGGTGGTGGTGGTGGAGGGGAGTCCGTTGTCAGCAGCTGTCAGGGGGACAGGTTGATACAGAGAGGCTCTGTAGAAGAGTCTGAAAGAGTTGGATTTTTTCCCCCAGCTTCCAGGGAATGGTAAGCCTTGCAGACAGATGGACAGGCAAACATAGGGATTGGCTTACTGGTTTTTGAGATCTATTTTTTTCTGAAATGCTTTTGTTTTAAATAAATACTTTGCTTTAAGAAAGCTGTGTTGTCACTGGTTACTACTGTCATTCTTTCTAGAGAAAAGAAAACAGCAGGTGCTGAACATAAGTCAGACCTGCTGAGGAATTACAATTAATCACTGGGGACTGCAGCCAGTGGGAGAATCATGCAATTCCACCTCAAGATAGAGGTGACTGCTTGAGGCCTAGTACCTCAGTGGTACACTTCAGACCAGAAGGGGTCAGAGGTGTAGTTACTTGGGAATTGTGACATACAGTACTTATAAAAATAAAACAAAAAACCCAACTATGTTTGGATGAGTTTAAAGACTAGCTATAGAACCAACTCTTTTTAAAGGATTGTGGTTTCAAAGAATTCTTAAAGCAGGATTTCATTGCAAAATGTGTGAAGACAGAAATAGACTCAAAGGACATACTGACTGTTACACTTGCATTTTGCTGCCATCTAGAGCTAGCTAGGCAGTTCAGTTCAATGCTTTTTTAACGTAATTTGAAACTGAATTGTATAAGTGAGGATGTGATTTGCTTAGTGAACTAAATTTTAGATTCTGTGTGTGTTCACTGGCAAGGTAAGTAAACCAGATGCATATGTCCATATATACACTCTCTTTGGGATATAATCCACATATCAAATTAAAACAATTGTCTAATCATAAATTTAATGCAAGCGTTACAAAAAAATTACTGTTCTAAAAGACTAATTCTATAGCACGATGAAAATATCAAATATTTCAAACTTTATGAAATTAGCAATTGAAAACAGGGCAGAAGAAGAGATTATAATGAAGGACCCGGTGTACCCATAATAGAAATGCTACATGATTGCTTTAATTGTAAGTAGTTATACTGATTTAAAACAAAGGATTTATACTACACTTCTTGTAAAAGCAGATGTGGATAGAATAGTAACTTGTACTGTAGACCTAATTTTGATGTCCAGATTATTTAAAGTAATTTGTTTTAAACAGGAATGGCGGCGGTTTTTTTTTTTTTTTTTTTTTTACAATCCTTATTTAGTAAGTTCTCCATTGCCACATCATTCATCATGCAGTATTAGATGAAAATAACATGTTAGTAACCCTTTTCATAACCTATATGTCCATGACACCATGCATGAATGCCTAGGAAGGAGTACTATAGAAAGGGATCTGGGGGTCACAGTGGATCACAAGCTAAATATGAGTGAACAGAGTAACACTGTTGCAAAAAGAGCAAACGTTCTGGGATGTATTAGCGGGAGTGTTGTAAGCAAGACACGAGAAGTACCGTAATTTTTCCGCTGTACAGCACAGGTTAGGTCTCTACTGGAGTATTGCGTTCAGTTCTGGGCGCCACATTTCAGGAAAGATGTGGACAAATGGGAGAAAGTCCAGAGAAGAGCAACAAAAATGATTAAAGGTCTAGAAAACCTGACCTATGATAGAAGATTGAAAAATTAGGTTTGTTTTAGTTTGGAGAAGAAAAGACTGAGAGGGGACCATAACAGTTTTCAAGTACATAAAAGGTTGTTACAAGGAGGAGGGAGAAGAATTGTTCTTGTTAACCTCTGAGGATCGGACAGGAAGCAATGGGCTTAAACTGCAGCAAGGAAGGTGGTTTAGGTTGGACATTAGGAAAAACTTCCTAACTCTCAGGGTGGGTTAAGCATGGAATAAATTGCCTAGAGTGGTTGTGGAATCTCCATCATTGGGAGATTTTTAAGAGCAGGTTAGATGAACACCTGTTAGGGATGGTCTAGATAATACTTAGTCCTGCCATGAGTGCTGGGGCTAGACTAGATGACCTCTCGAGGTCCCTTCCAGTCCTACGATTCTTAACGTGTGCATTCATATAACGTACAACCAGTTAAGATCTTTAAGTAAACTAATTCTAATGACATTTCAACCTAAGTATGAATATAAGTGTATGCTGCATTCCTGGCTGTGTTCCAAATGAGTCATTATGTAGGAGTATCTTACCTTCTGCAGGACTGGAGCAGTGTGCACACCCAGCATTGTTGTAGGATATGCCTATAAAAGACTACAAAGACTATAGCACCATAGTTACATCAGCATATCTATGCTGGCATAGCCCCATAGTGTAGATGCAGTCTACACTGACAGAATGTGTTTTTCTGTTGGTGTATGAATACCACTTCCCTGGAAATTAACTGTTGATGGATTCCCTCTTCTGTTGGCATAGCTACAGTTACACTGCGGGTTATGTTGCCATAGCTACGTTGGCCAGGGGTCGGTTTTGTTTCACACCCTTGACCAATATAGCTATGCTGATATAACTTTTCAGTGTAGACCAGGCCCTAGATACCTTACAAGCTCATCTTGAATTCAGTTAAAACAGCTGTTTCTGCATAAGCCATTGGCATTTGTACTTTAATCTAGTCCTTCCCAACAGAATTCCGATAACTGACATTTATTTCCACAATATACAAAAATAAACTTACTAAATAGTAAATTGAGCTTCATTTTCTTTTACTACTAAGTCATATTGTTTGCCCAAACCCTTACTGAAAATGAATCACTAAAATGTTTTGAGTTGATAAGGTATTGTTTGGCTTGGTATTGTTTTCTGTGTACCTTTTATTATCACCTGCCTATTGACAATGTTAGTTGATGCTGAGACCTTTTCTTTGCTTAGCATAAATCTCTAATCAAGAGTTTATAGATATCATTTGCACTGACTTTCGTTTTTTGGAAATGAACCAGATTGATATATATGAAGTTTAGAGGACTGCAAGTACCAGTGTTTTGAAAGACGAAACTTGATCATGCACAGTCTTTAAAGATCAGCAGCTGCGAAGGGCTTAGTTTTGTTTACCATCTCTTTTCCTGGAAGATATGTTTGTGATTAGTCCTAAAATGATAAATACCAGTCACATATTTGGATTTAATAACAATTTTATTGCAGCTTAGTGTTGAAGTTGCGACTTCATATCTTTATAAACAAGACAAATGTATTTTTGTGCTAGAAATGAAACTTCAAATGGTCACCTTAAAATGTAGGTGATACTGGCTCAGTGGATTACAGAACTGTAGTTGGGTTAGTATTCTATATTGCTATGAAGGACACAGTTTCCCCTTTATACCAGCTCTTCATCCAATCTGCATTCCCCCTTCCCAGCTCAGCAGGCTCCTTGCCCACCCTTCCATATCCCATCTCATCTCCCTTCCTCCGCAGCTCCCAGTCTGTCTTTGTAGGCTCCTTGTCTCAGTATACTCCCTTCACTCTCCCTGGTCTATTTTTTTGCTCCCTTTGTATTGAAATCAGGCTGGTTTGTCCTCCATGCTGCCTGAGGTCCAGCTGGAGAGAGTCATTGAGAGTAAAGGAGAAGCAGTGCCCATCCCAGAGTGGCCATTACAGGGAAAGACCCTGCTTGGTTCTAGAGTCCTGCAACCTAACTCAAATCTGATTGCAAGTGTTGAGTCAGGTGGGAAAACAAGTAGACCCCATCTGGTTCGTACGGTGGTGGCTGCATGCCCTGCTGGCTGCTGACATCTTGCTATGTTGTGTGCACTGCAGAGTGAGTGTGCTGAGGAGTCTCAGCACCTCTCTCTCTCTCTCTCTCTCTCTGCAGTACACACAGTGCAGCAGGGGATGGTGGATGGGGAGGAACAGGGCATGCAGCCACCACTGGGACAACCCCATGGGCAGGAGATGACAATGGCACTGACTTAGGTTCATGGGGAAGAGTTGAGTCATGTGGGCTTGGGTCTGGGCTGGGCTTAAAACTTAGTCCCCAGCAGAGCTCTACTTTGCTCCTGTAGCATGCTCAGTCGTTATGTAATGGTGCATGTGCAGTCTGGTCAATGCTAGAAGCTGAGAGAGGCTCAAATATGATCAGCGCAAATGGAATCTTATAGAAGTGTAGGGCTAGAAGGGACCTTGAGAGGTCATCTAGTCCACACACACCCATGTTAAGGCAGGACTGAGTATACCTAAACCATCTGTGGCAGGAGTTTGTCTAAACTTTTTAAATTCTTGGTAACCTATTACAATACTTAACTTTGCTTATAGTTAGAAATTTTTTCCTAATCTCTTCCCTAAATCTCCCTTGCTGCAATTAAAGCCAATTACTTCTTGTCCTACCTTTAGTGAACATAGAGAACAATGGATCACAGTCCTTAACACATTTGGAGACTGTTATCAGGTTCTCCCTGCAGTCTTCTTTTTTCCAAGATAAAACGTATTCATTTTTTTAAACCTTTCCTCATAGATCATGTTTTCTATACCTTTAATCATTTTTGTTGCTCTCCTCGTTCCTACATTTTTATTTCATCTTTCTCTTGCTCCTATTGTATTTCTAGAACCTATTGCCTTTTATGTCCCTTGCTAGTTGTAATTCATTTAATGCTTTAGCCTTTCTGATTTTTGTCCCTACATGCTCGTGCAATTCTTTTGTACTTGTCTTTAGTAATTTCTCCATGTTGCCACTTTTTGTAGGATTCTTTTTTTATTTTCAGGTCATTAGAGCTCCTGACGCAGCCATGTAAGCCTCTTACTGTTCTTCATATTTTTCCTTCACATTGTGATAGTTTGCTGTTGTGCCTTATATATTGTCACTTTGAGAATCTGCTGGCTCTCCTGAGCTTCTTTTTCCCTTAGATTTTGTTCCCATGGAACCCTACCTTACCAGTCCTCGGAATTTGTTAGTTTGGTTTTTTGAAGTGCTTTGAAGATTTTAGCTGCGAAAATCAAAGAAGTCTCTACTTATCACGTGAATTGCAGTTTTTCAAAGTCTTGTAACTTGGCCAAATTTAGGCACATTTTCAATGGGTGGCAAAGTCACATACCTGACACGTAAGCTACACCCTGCCAAATTTCAAGTCACTGATCCAAAGCATATGGTACAGAGCTGTTTTAAAAAAAATGGTCCCCAGAATTTAAGATGGACAAAACATATTTTTACCTGCGCTTCCTTCTTGGAAACAACTGAGCCATTTTGGCTGAAATTATTTGGAAAACTTCAGCCAGAGGCAGACACCTGGGCATCTAAAATTTCAGCCCAAGTCGTTGGTCTGGCAAAGTTATAAATAACTGAAACAGGATCTTGTAATGGGAAGAATTGGGCAGGCTTAGTAGGTGGTGCTGCCAGCCCCACCTGAAATGAATTACTCTCTGTGCTTTTTACCTGTTTGTTGAATTGAATCTTATTGTGGTATACCAAAAACTAGCACTGCGAAGTCTGGTGCTGGTAACTCTCTAAATCCAAACATAGGAGCTATAGTGTCATTTTGGAGAGATTTAGAATTTCACCTTTATTACTGGATACAATTAATGTATTCTTGCTTCTAGAGACTTTTGATAAACTGGTTAATTTTGTTTGAATGTTTAAGAACACGTTAATTATTGTAAACTGTCTTCTCAATTGCAAAATGACTCTGTTTCTAGCAGAGTTTATGGCAAGGACTTTACCATTTTTATATGATTTCCTTTATTACATCTGGTCCAAACTCAAAAACCAAATCAGATGGAGCCCTCCTATGGACTTATTCACCTGTGTACCATTTATTCACAGTATCACCTAGGTTCCATCCACATGCTGCCCTCCTGTGGTACCTGAATTCTCAGACTAGGAAGGTGGCAAATAAGGCATGCAATTGACACTGAAAGACCTGTCCAATTGGGGATCACTTGTCTTTCCCCACTTCCAAGGTCAGCTCTGCTGGTTTGCTGAATGTTGTCTTTAGATGGTTTCACACCAATCTTTGTGTGAAAATCAAGCCATATTTTTCATTTTAAGTATTATTGCTGTACATTATATACATATGAAAAAGTGATCTAGAGTGTTAACTACTGAATGACTTGAAATGAAATACCCTTAAAAGAAAAGTATCATATGCCTTAGATGCCTTCTGTAAGAATACCTATAGACACTTGAAACTTGATGAGGAGACTCTTTATTAAGCACGCACTTATTTTTAAATACTAATAATAACCTCGTTGACTAATGAGGACCAAGTAATGTCTTGTTGCTTCTTCATTAAGTATCTGGGTGCAACCAGTGTAAGAGACAGTTGATAAGAATTTCCATCTTGTTTTACAGGGTGACCTGAAAACCTATCTCTGCAATGAGCAGGAGCATATTAATGGAGATTCACAAATAATGCTGCTACAGAGAATGGCGTGTGAGATCGCTGCTGGACTTGCCATAATGCATAAACATAATTTTGTGCATAGGTATGCTTTCCAAATAAATAAGAATGTTTGTTATGCTGCACTCTAAAACTCATGCAAACTTTTCTTTAAGTGTCGTGATTGAAATAAAAGCAATATGTATCAAAGTAAGAAGAGATTTTATAAGGTATGATTCTGAATCAGTTAGAAGATATTTTCCTTCATTAAGAAGAGTTGATTTGTATTAATTGAGTTGGAAACTAAATTGTAGTATTTAAATCCTATAACTCATAACTGATGAAATGCTGCAGAACTAGACGCCAAGTGGCGAAGTAGATGGGTATGTCTTCACTACCCGCCGTATCGGCGGGTAGCAATCGATTTATCCGGGATCGATATATTGCGTCTCGTTAAGACGCGATATATCGATCCCCGAATGCGCTCACCGTCGACTCCGGAACTCCACCAGTGCGAACGGCGGTAGCGCAGTCGACGGGGGAGCCGCGGCCGTCGATCCCGCGCCGTCTGGACCCCAGGTAATTTGATCCAAGATACTTCGACTTCAGCTACGCTATTCGCGTAGCTGAAGTTGCGTATCTTGGCTCGATCCCCCCCCAGTGTAGACCAGCCCGATGTCTCTGCTACCAGGTGGAAGAACTAGTTGTACAAACAACTTGCAAAAAAATTGAGTTTGAGGTGGTCTCTGGACATTCCTCCATCACCTGGTTGAGCTCCGGTGCATTGCTGTGATATATGAAGAAAGTATGTAATGGTTGTATTCTGCAGATGATCCCTGTATCCACTTTATGGGTCAACAATTGCTGAAGTTGACTGTCTGAGCAAGAATTTCAGAATCATTTTGTCTTAATGAATTTCCCCAAGATTTAGCATCTATTTAAATGGTATTGTCAATGAAGCTTATTAAATCTCATGATTCCAGACACTGCATACTGTCAAATCTTACTACATACTTCAAATCTTAACCCTAAAAATGCCAGTTTATAGTGCAATAGAAAATATATATGTCCCAAAACAGCATGGCCCAACTAGAGAATAATTGGAAGTAACTTCAAGGTAATTGCTTTCATGTCATTTCAAAAATTGCTGTCACTTTTTTAAAATCACAGGTTAAGTGCAAGACTTAGCTATAGAGCTGTATACTTTATTATGAAAGCTCTTAAAACTTAGAGCTTTAACTTGAATGCAATCATTAATCAGTTTCATTACTAAAATGGATTAAACTGGTTAAGATTGCATTGCAAGATGAAAGGTTTGCATTGGATCCAATTCTTTTTGCCATTTTTTTTTGTTTGTAGGGTGAGGAGGTGAGGTTAATTGGTCTTTGAGCCAAATTCAGCTTCAGTTTAAGCAGGTGCAATTCCACTTAATTTACAACAGACTTTTATATTTTCTTCAAATTACATTTTTACTCAGTTATCAGAGTTGAATAGCTAGAGTTTCAAAAGATTATATGAAGTAATCTGTGAAAGTGATCTATTTTGATTTTTTTTTAATTTTGGAAAAAGTAATATGGAATTTTTCCTTTCCTTGCTGGCTGAACTGCATCTAGTGCAGGAAATAGTGTTTGAAAGTGGAACAGTGGAGGTGTCAAACTGAAGAAACCTTCATCCATGTATGATGAAACTAAATACAAGGGAACATCTTAAGAAACAAGATTAATTGAGGAGAGACTTGCTCCTGTGTTTATTAGTCGTACATTCTGAAATAGCAAATCTGGCAGTCTTCAAGTCCTGTCTATGATTCTGTAGCTGTAGTTCTAACATAACACACCATTCCCAGCCTTCATTGGCCAGAAGCCTGGGACTTTCTGTTCCTTAGATTCAAGATTTCCCATGCAACATGTTGCTTAAATGCCACTGGACCAATTCAACCCTGAATTTGAGGTGCTTCCATTGGTGTATTGGCAGTGTTATAAACAGCATGTGTAGCTCAAACATGTATCTTAAAATAAAGACAAACCTAGAAAATAGAAACCACTTTTTCTCTCAGTGAGTAAAGTAAGCCTAAATGTAAAGATGGCTGTGAATGTAAATCTGTTCCTCTGCTTATCTGATCTTTTCTATATGCTGAGAAAAGTAGGGGTTATTGAATTACACAACTCAAATAAATGGATGGGTGTCACAACTGTTACAGGAATATGATGAATATGCATTTTAAAGTTAGGGGTCATTTGATACTTGATTTTTTTTTTCCTCGTCTGTACCTGTGTGTCAGAATTAGTGAGGCATAGATAATTTGTAAGTTCATTCATACTACCAATGATATTACATAGTTGATGCCAACTGCTAACTTGATTTATAGAAGTACATCATTTGTAAAAGGTCAGGTTTGTCTTAAGTACTTTCCCATTCCTATCTTATGACCTACAGGAAGTCTGTCTGTTTTAAATTATACATTGTACCTGGCTTGTGTGTCTGTGTTTTTTGCTTACATTGAAATACATTGTCTAATGAAACATTTGAAATAATGGGATTTCTTTTCATTTTAACCCTTTTTGGTTTTATTGCTCTTTGATCTCCTCAGGTCAGGGATCATCTTTTTTACTTTAAGTGTTAAACACATTGTGAGTGGTCCTGGAAAAAATAATAAAATACTTAAAGTAAATAATAGATGACAATTTTTAAAATAATTTCAACGTTGTATTTAATGTACAGGCCCATACTGATTATCTTTATTTAAACTGCTTTGTGCATATATGTTTGTTAGTTTTACCAATATAGAATGTTACTCTTATCACCCAGGCAGATACATCAATTTATGAACAGACTTTCTTTTTCCCTGCTATCTGTACATCTAACATCTCTTGGCTTCAGAACAGAGCACTAGATACCAAATCTACTTGAAAGTGTTAACTATGGCTTAATCTTTTTCCAATGGAAAGAAAACTGTAAACAAGCTGGTTGTCTGAAAAGCAGCCCTGTGTTAACTATTGCTTTGATGTGGAGATATTGGAATGGGAATTACCTTGCAGTTGACATTTTTGGATATGAGGAAACTATTAAACTGGTTGAACAGGAACTACTGAGGGCCAACTGGAGTGACTTCAGGAGGGAGATGAATGAAGGGAGTAGTAAATATGAAAGGTGGTGTGGTTTAATTTGTACTCAGTGTCTCCTCCTTTTACTAATTGGGATTTTGATCATATAAAAATAGATCTAATTCATTTTTATTAACATTTGTAGAGAACCTCTTTATTAATGGTAATAGGTCTGTGGACAAGATTATGGCAAGAGGTTTGATTTAGGTGGAGTAATGTAACACTTGAATTGGTGCTCCTGAAGATAGGCTCGTAGTTCAGGCAGAGTTCAGGCAAGTGCTGTGCAAGTTCCCCACAAAGCTTTACCAGTACATCTCCGTCCTGACCTGAAATTCCCTTGCTATTCCAGTCCTGTGTTCTTTTTGATCAGACTGTCAGTGTGCCAAATTATGTGGTGATTCTATGTGTGTAAATGTTCACTAAAGACAGATCTGAAATGACCAAATTTATTTTGTTTGTGACCTAAGAAAGTACTATGCCTTGTTCTCCAGAAGTGGCATATGTCTTGAGGATGCCTTTTGCACATACATGAGCATGTTACGTTTCTGGTTGTTTGAGAGAGCAAAAGACCCTAAATGTACCAAAGCAAAAGCCTTGCTCCCCTTTCCCAAAAAAAGATGTGGCATGCTTCTTGAGCTCTAACCACAGACTGTGATTACTAAGAGTTAAAAATAGAACACAAGGCATCCATTTTTCAGATAAGGTAGTCAGGTGCCAAAGGCATGTGTATATTTGGATACTTTAACAGAGCTTTTGGTTCAGTCTCTTCAGCATCCCAAGTAGTGCTTAAACTGTGGATTTTCATGACTGGGATGGTGGGAGAGCACACAATGAATTTAGTATTTGCATGTTAATACTTTATTTTAGTTTGGTAGTACCAGTGGTAGATCCAAAAAGTATAATGTTCCCAAAACCTTTCTGGGAGATATTACTGATCCTCAGCCTGAGCTGACTCACAGTATTCTTTGCTTGCAAGAACTTAAAAAAATTAAGGGCCATGATTGCTTCAGTTTAGAGGGTGCGGGGGAAATAACTTGGCACCAGAATATTTTGAAGATGTGTATATGCAGCAAAATACCATATTTTTCTGGTTAGTTCCAAAACTGGAATACTTCTAATAATAGGAATTTCCATTTATTCTAATGTTTGTTCCCAGGGTTTGCACTGTAGTCCTGGTAGTTGTGAGAAGAATATGCATATGTTCATGCATTTTGTTTGGATAACTGGTCAAGGTTATCACAGTTGCTTCAAGGTCATAAGAACCTTGAGCAAATTGATTCTTCACTATCAAGTGAAGAAAAACACTATTTTTAGTGCTCTCCCAATTTCTTGCCATCTTCTGGATCCAGTTCAGTAACCAGCTGGTATAGTAATACAAACATTGGAAAAGATAACTAGGATCAGAGGCAGTGACAATGCACTGCCAGTCATAAGTGGTGCAAGGCTTAGATCAGGATGCATCCTGTCAAGGCCTAGTAACTTAGGTTAAGCCAAACACCTGCCCTGTATTTAATAAACAGCATCCTGTCCTAATAGGACTAATGTAGAAACTAAGTGGCAGGTGGGCATTGTGCTTAGAATTCTTATCTGAACAAGCAAGGACAGAAATCAAGAACTTAAATGATGTTAAGCTGGCCATCACCACCATCTCTTATCTATTCAAATCTGTCCACCTTGCACAATCTCAACAAGACAGCCAGTTGATTGAGACAAACGGTCCTCCCAGATGAATGGTAATTTAGCTGGTAGGTCTTTTAACAGATTTGCATCATCTGGAGATCTCTGTCACTAGACCTGTTCTTAACCTGGGTACAAGATTGTCCAGAGGTGTTTTTTTTGCAGTAGTTGCTGCAAGCCATTGATGGTTAACAATAGTTTATCTAGTAAGGTTTCAGTCTGAGATATTTTTCCCTTTCCCAGCTGCACTTATTCTGTTGGTTCCCAAAAAGATCGATAATATCAGTGGAATTCCATTTTCAGATTGTAGCCCTGGTTATGAAGTATT